AGAAAATGGATAGGTAATAATTGGTTAAGGTACTGATTTACTTTGACTTCAAACGTGAAGTAAAAATCTGAACATTTCCCTATCAATTTTGTTTTAATCATTTCTATGATACAATTATTGTTTAGTTATGTTCAGAAAAGTCTGAAGTCACCCTTTTATTTTTTTTTATTATTTTCTTTCTTTTTTTCTTCTTAGTACTACAGGAAATTAAAAATTTAAATGGAGACTGGCCAGGAAAAAAACAATGTTGTCCATGTGTGATTCTTGGTCAGTAGCATTGCATGTGGCCCCTGGCTGGGGCAAGGGCATGGCACAGGGCTTGGCAGGTCCTTTGCTATGCAATGGTAGCCTGAAGATGTGTATGTGTGTGTTTGTGTGTGTACTTACATAAAACACGTGTGTGTGTGTGTATATGTATGTGCATAGAAAAACATGCACATATCCCCTCTGCTAGGTGGCAGAAGACACACGTTATGACAAAATCAAAATTACTCTGATGAATAAAACTATATTCTTCTAAAATGGATCTTTCCCAGGTGTATTTGGGCTTAGTGAAGGCTGAGTATTTTGCTATTCTTGTCCAGTCATCACATTTGCTATATAACATTTAAGTTCTTTTTCTAGGGGTGGATATTTTAATCAGTATTTTGTATTTCCATAACCTGGTGCTTTCTGTTTTGTAGGATGATTACAGAGTCTGCATGGAGTTTAATATCATTCAGAAAGATTCTGTGCCTGTGTGCCCTGTGGATGCATCAGGCTGCTTCACAGCAGAGGTGCCTGACTTTGCTGGGCAGTATGTGAAGGTCAGTGCTCTTGGAGAAAGTATATTGCTACTTTATTCAAGATAAACTTTATATATGGTAGAAGCTTTCTTTTCTTTCTCTGAGTTTGTCTTCCATATGTGTATCTGGATACACTGAAATGTGTTTTAATATTTACAATAGGGTTGTAGTTGTTTGTTACAATATCTGAAAAATGAAGTGTTTGAAATATGAGCATGTAGTGAAAGGAAGAAGGGTTATCTCCTGTTTGCATTTACTGCAGAAAGAATCTTTCCTGTTTTTCTTACAGAAGTGTCATGTACACAGTCTCTAGGCACATGTGCAGAGGCCTCTCTCACCTCTGGGTGACCCTGGGTTCACAGATGTTGTCATAAAGTTTGTACCAGGCAGTTAGTGCAACATGACCCATTAGAAGAGAAATCCACTCATTTTCCCCACTTGTGGGCTGTCTTGCTATGTGAATTTACTTGCTAGTAGATGCAAGATAATCCATGACAAGGAACCCACAGGAACTCCAGGTTGCTACAGCTGCAAATCCCTAGTAGGGAATGCCTCTTAAATTCCTTGTCCTGAGAAAACAAATTGGGTCTATTCCTGCTATTATAGTTTGATAGCAAAGCATGTTCCTGTGAACAAATGCAATAAAGGTTTGTAAGTCTCTTTCAAGTAAATTGTGAACTCAACCAGCTATTGTTGCTTCCTGCTATGTATTAAGGCAAATAAGAGAACACTTGGAAGCTCCATTTTAGCTTCTTGCTGGCAGAAATCTGAACTTAAGGCTCTTGGAAAATATCCATATGATGCTATATTCTTAGCTTATGGATATTGCTCTATCATAAATCTTAGCATATTTTTTCCCTTTCTTAATGTCATGTTGACACTTGTTTATTCAGTAGATTCTCTTTGCTTATTAATACACAACTTTGACTTCCAACTTAGCCTATCTAAGTCTTGATTAGTTAGTAAGTTAGTTAGTAAGGTATTATAGAATATGCTTCAGCTCCTGAAATTCTGGTCACAGTAGGGAAATGTGTTATAGGGAAGTTTAAATATTAGGTAAGAAGCACTATGTGACTTTATGCTACAAAATCAGAAGACTCAATAAAAGATTTAAAATATTAAGTAATACGAGTTCTGGCTTGTATTAGTGCTACAGAAAATGTGAATGTTGCACACAGTTGTGTGTATGTGAAGCAGGGTTGAAAGTAGAAAAGGGCTGATGCCGTGTACCAGGATTTAGAGAGCAAATAATTTCCCAACTTTAGTGTTTTACAGTGTCCCTGTAGTAAATATATAAATTGTATAGAAGCTTTTTTGCTGTAAATGCTGGTTTCTTTGTATGGATTTTTCATTAATTTGGGTGTCGGAGACAAATCCTGTATAGCTTACTGAAAGAGTGAAATTTTTATGCCAAGGAAAATCTTTTGTTTTGTCTTTCTAGGATGCAGATAAGAACATCATTAAATTACTGAAAGAAAAAGGCAGACTGGTTCACAGCACTACTTTTAAGCACAGCTATCCTTTCTGCTGGAGGTAAGAAGTGCATATGGCTTTGAGATTGAGGGTTCTAGCAGAGTACGTCAGGTTTGTCTCCTTTTTTTGCCCTGACTTGACCTACTTGATTTTCTTAACAAGACTAAAAGTAACATGAATTGAGCTGATTTATTTAGGAGAGCTCCAATTTTGGTTTGAGAATCAAGTAAATGAATCTTTTTGGCCATAGATCTGATGAATTAAAGTGTAGTGCTGAAATTTTTTTCTATTATGATTTTGCAGGTGTGTTTTTGTAGTTTGTGTCTCTCATTCTTCAGGGTATCATGCAATACTGCTAAGTACCTTTTGAAGATGGCTATAAAAAGTCTAAAGAAGCTTTTTTTTTTTCCTAAGCAGCTGAGTGGTGGGAAAAGATATTTTTGTACCCTTTGAATTGTATCCAAATAACTCTATCACAGAATGTCTTTAGATGTTTGTGTAAAAGCCTTCCATGTGTTGGATAAAATGACTAAATTACAGCTGTTGTTAGAATTGGTTCTTTTTAACCTTGTAAAATGATTTCTTTCTTTGGAGTCTGATGCAACCCAGTTGCTTGTAACACAGAAACATCTGTATTGTTGATTAAAATCCGAGGTAGCTCTTGGATCCACTGCAGTGGGTAGGAAGTGTAAATACCTTTTTTGCTCAGCCATTCCTGTATGATGCTCACATGCACTGGTAATGTTTCTGGTCAGGAACAGCAGTTGATGTGTTCACAATATTGGTGGAGACTCCTTAGAAATGTTTGGTTTTGCCAACTGGAAGTTCCAAATTAGCTCTGAAATGTCATGTGGGTGGTTCAGCACAGTGACCTGTCAGGAATCTTCCTTGTCAGACTGGGAATCTTGGAGAGGGCTCCATGTGGACATCTCCATGGGCCTTCAGTATCAGTGAAGAGACATCAGAAGTTTCAGTTGTGAGAGATACAGGCTAGACAGATTTAATCTAGGAGTGAAGCATGTTTTTATTAGTCCTTTCTGATTTGAAATGTATACAATTGCTACTGTGAAATTGAGCAAAATAGTCACTGAACCATGTCAGATTTAAAAAAAAGAATCTTTGGTAATGTTTTAGTAGGAGTATTGTATTAAACATTTATTACAAGTAAAGGCATAGTTAAAACATCTAATTTAATTATCTGATGATTAAGTCCTATCTGCTGCATAGAGCACGTGCACTGACATAACTGTGATGAAAACTCTTCTCTCTGTCCAGCTTTGCTGCTGCTGTGTGGGGTTTAGCAGTGTGCATATATCTTTGATCTACAGCAAGAATAATCTTTGCTCACTCTTGAGTAACAGGATTGGTTTGTTTCTAACAGCTGCCTAGAGCAGGAAGGGGAATTACTCTTCAAGTGTTACATCCTTGATGATTTGGGACAGTGTTTGAAAAATGGCAGCTCAAAATCAAGCAGCACTTGTGTTTCTCTTGTGTAGCAATTCAGATATCCAGTCATGGCCTTCTGAGACAAGCCAGGAATGTAGAACTGCTGATTCTGTAGAACATCCTTAATCCTGCCACTCTGTTGACATTTTTATTGATTGATGATAAGTTGCAGGCAGCACCTAGCAGCAAATTATCTGGTGGGAAGAAGAGAACAATGGATTTTACTTGAAAAGCTCATTTCTCTGCCATCACAAATCAAACCGTAATTGGAATATGCTAAAAGTAGAAGAGTAGTTCTTAACTTTGAAGAGTTATAAGTTATTTTGATTAATATAAGAAAACTTTGAAATCAGACTCTTCTTGCTGTACTATTGTTCATGCTCTCCCTGAAACCAGGCAGGTGTCGAATCAGTGCGTTGAGAGATTTGCCTTCTCTTTACATATCATCAGATTAGAGTCCTTCTCAACATTCTCTTGTTACTGTGTTATATAGTAATTTTCTGTCAAGTAAACTTTTAGATCTGAGGGAGGAAAACATAACAACTTGGTAAGGACACAGTAGATAGTTTTCAGTTAAAATTTGTCCTTATTGGAATGCTGAATGAGAAGAACATTGGTCAAATCCACTCTGTGCACATGTGAGAGCTTGAGAGTCTATATGTTATGGGCAGCAGTTTAGCAAGTGGAATAGCATTGCTGATGAGCATCACAGCTTGAAGCATTTGTTGCAGCTACTGCCTGCCATTCCATTGACAGTTACAGAGCTTTGTCTTTTCCAAGCCAGTGAGGGCAAAGCCCAGAAGCATTTTTTGTAGCCTGTGATCAATTATCAATCATTGGTTTCCTAACAGGAATAAGATGATAAGTTATCGTGATTAGATTTCTCTGATATGTTTCTAAAGGGTCTATTTGTAAGGGGAACAAAACTTTGTTCAGTTGAGACAGAGAGGAATGTTTAGGCAGAAATTTTCTGAGCATCAATTTGATTTAAGGTCTGAGTGGTTTTTTTCCCTGTATTGATGGAAAACACAACCCAGCAATGGGTGTTTCTCCTTTGATTCTACAGCAAACAATTGAATCAGCTAGAAGAAAAAAGTATTCAGGGAAACTGCCATCTCCCCTTTCTTACTGCCTTCATGTAGGTGGAGCAGTGCTCTGTGGATGCTCTGGAATGGCTGTCGGGTATTATAAACTTAGTGCTGGGTTGAAAGCTTGGGAAATGATTGTTGGCTTCCTCCTCTTTGTCCCTTTGTCATAGATCCTTCATGTCTGAAGCTACTGCCTGCCTGCAGCCAGCCCAGCCTGCCAGCTGCTCACTCCTCATGGGGGCTGAGTGCCAGTTTATTGTCCCAACATTCTTCTTGCAATATATTAAGACCATGTGAGAAGTTGTTATTATCAGGTTCTGCTTGTTGCCAGTTGCTCAGGATCTTGTGATGGCAATTCATTATTCTTTAGCACTTCTGAAATAAGATGCTCAGTGAAACTAAAATACTGCTGGAGTACCTTGTAGCTTGGGGAATGCTTTCTTTTTCACTGTGATCTTGCTGCTGTGTGAGGAGCTAACTGAACTGTTCCTTTTTGTGGCTGTTAGGACTTGAATTTGAGGAGCAAACCATCCTAGCTTAGCATGTTTTTGATAGGTAGGACACAACTGCATTATTATTGCTTTGAACTCTCCTGTAAGGTTATAGACACTAGCTCTTAAACAGATTGAAACATATAAAGTTAAAAGGAAATATCTTCTGAAATATGGTATTAAAAGAAATGTGGTTTGTGTTACTGGGTTTAATGCAAAGTAAGTGCAGGTTTGAAGGTTTGAACACCCTTTGCTGTGGGTTTTTTGCTGTTGGTCAGGCAGGTGCACCTTTAGCTAGTGCTGGCACAGTAGCAGTTTTAATTTACATCATAATCTCCAGCAGTTGTACATACCAAATGAGTCTTTGCTATGGATATAAGTAAAATGAATTAAACTTTTAAGATGGAATGTTTGTAGTATGACTGCACATAGGAGATAACAGTAGTTTCTCAGGGTCTTTGCTTGTGAATTACTGTTGAGCAAGTGTGTTCCCAAGTTCTGTACCAGAGTGACCTAAACAAAAAGAATATTTTAAGAAACATTTTGTGTGGTGGGTTGATGCTAAGGGAGAATGAGCTGCTTGGTCCCAGTGTTGTTGGGGCTGCTCTCTGCCCATAGACAGATTCCATGCCCTCAGGGTTAGCCTCCCTCTTCAAGCTGGAATAATGGGATGGATGTGAAATGTCTGAACTCTCCTGTAGTGACTTTTGCCGAGTATTTGATCACAGGATCCTTCAGAAGGACGTGTGACACTTGAATTGATTGAGACAGTAAACAGTTGTATTATGGAACTGATAAAAAGAGACTGGGTGAGGCACTGAGCAGTCAGATATTTAGGGATACTCATTTTACTAGGTAATTTAGGGAATTTATCAGTGTTGTGCTCTGCCCTGTCGTGTTGCCATTTCTAAGCAATCCCAAGTTGTGAAACTGCTCTCCTCTCACATGGGTTTTGTCTTCTTAATTGTTGAAGTAAGGAATATATTAGGGTAGCTGTAAAACTTCTTTTATATGCTTATCTGGATATCTTTCTTCTCCTCCTGGGATGGAGCTTTTTTCTAGTTAACTCTGGATAGTGTAACTTGTTTTTGATTTATGATTATTCTTTTAAGTAGAAATAGTAAAAACATAACATAATGATTCCTGGCTTTTTCAGGTCTACAGATACATAAAAAAAGATACAGAATGAGCTCATGTGTAAGACTCAAATATGACTCATTTTAATAGTTACTGAAGTTCATATCATTGTACTATGTAGGAACACAAATTTCAAATGCAAGTATCATTTGAATGCTCTCATGACTCCTCTTGCTATGCAAATTCCTTGAATTACTGGGTTTGAGGCTAGTGAAATTTTTTTAGGATTTGATTTTATAATAGTAACTCACATAAGTGTAACAGTTTGTGTAATTTAGAAAACAAATCAAACCCCACCCTTTAACTGTGGTAGCATTTCAGGAACAGTGAATTCAGCCTGTGGAAGGAGAACTGTTGTGTACAAAAATACATAATGAAGAGTTTATAACTAATGTAGCCCTTAAAATGTTCTTGTTTGTTTTACACTCATCCTCATCACCTTCCCTCTACAGGTCAGATACTCCATTGATATACAAAGCTGTGCCAAGCTGGTTTGTCAGAGTGGAGCATATGGTGGAGAAGCTGCTGGAGAATAATGCCCAATGCTACTGGTAATGCCTCCTGCAAATACCCTTTTTATTTTCCTTTGCCTGCAGTTGGGAGTGTGTGTGCTGGAACACTACTTAAAGCTATTTCACTGGTAGTATATGAACTTACCTTCATATTTCCATTCTGTCTTTTTGAGTCACTGCTGTTGGAATGGGCCTAGGACCAGTTTTCCATAGTGTCTTCTTTCAGGTTTCACAGATGTGCCTCAGATGGGTAGAGCAATGGGATAATCTTCCTGGAATGAACAGCTATAACCTGCTTAATGCATATCAGGCCAGGGTTTGAGCTTGTCTGCATGCTGGACCTTCTCTGTGCCAAGAAGGCAGTTGTTACATCTGGTTGTTGCATT